GAATGGACCAGCAGGGCGTTAGCGCGAAGAGAAGGAGAGCACACGTAAGCACGAACAAAGCATCCTATTCTGGGATTGAGCAATTCTGGGAGACACCTGGGCGACACAATCACCAACAAATAAAGACCACTGTAAGACTATGACAGCAAAGGGCGAACGATTTCAACATCGAGGATTGGGGCTGGGGCTGAAGTACGGTAGACGTTTCGCTTTTGCCAACAGAATCACCCAGAAGAACAGATTGAAGAGGACAAACTGAAACACATATCATTAACACATGAAAAGGCTTACGGTTTGTAAAATAAACTCAAGCTGTGGAAACGGTAGGCAATACTCATGAGGATTAACTTGTGGTTTTAGAGGCCAGCTACACTCACCACAAGAAAAGGGAGTCAAAATTCAGCAAAAAAGAACCAGAACCCTTTTCTAGCTAGTGACCGACTATCCCTTCAAATGCATTGCTTCGAATGGAGCTCTGAATGGGGCACCTTGCCACCTTTATAGGCAAAGGATGCGATAATTCCCCTAGGCGCGTGAGATTAACACGCCGATTACCAGAGAATACTGTGCTCCTGAGCAAGCTTACATGACGTCTCGTCCAAAAAAAGCAGTCTCTTAGCGTCTCAGGAAGGCTTAACATGCCCACCCGTACTCCCACCGCCGACACCCCCACAAATGGAGACACTCGCACCGATCAGCAGTTGATCACGATCGGATCAGCTGTTATCACTAACAGTCTGCGGCTGGATCGCGCTTTTAGATTTCATACCTTTAGAAGGAACCCTGAAAAAGGCCCAATTTCAAGTGTTTTCGGCCGTATCGCCCCGTCTTTGCTTGAATATCGTACTATTCAGTGCCTCTGCTTCCGTTTTGTGGAGCTAACCAGATTACCATGCCTTCGATGCCGTGCTCTTTCCTTGTGTGTGGAGTTATTTAGCGGCCCACTACGCTCCATTGCTGGTCGTTTGACCGCTACAACTGCTTACTCAATCAGGTTCAGTATTTGCGATGGTTCACCTATTAGCGGTGGAGCACGGTCATAGCAAAGTTGTTTCGCCGTCGCGCCCGGCATATCATGTGCGGAATTCTCTGGCCTCTGGCATTCCTAGAAGCGCGCAGAAATGAACGTCACTTCTGCGGCTCATGTGCCTAGCTCTACACCAGCAATGAACCGTTACAACAAAAAGAGATTTCAGGATTTGAAAGCCGCTTTGTGTGCCTAGCTCTACACCGAGCAATGAACCGCTTTCCAAAAAAATTTCAGGATCTGAAAGCCGCTTTGTAAGTGTCCAGAAGGATGCGCTGAGCAAGGTGTAACCAAAAAGTAACTCACAGCAGAAGGGAAAACGACTCGGCTGACAATGTCAATGTGGGAGTGACGGATACAGAAGCGATTCGGTTGCTTGATGACGGCAATGATTGACGTAGGAGCTGCATTGCATGTGCATTCAGCCAGGCGAGCGTCTAAAAAAGGTCTCATTTTCAGTCTGAGATATCAGCTGGAGCTCTTAGGCGTTGACCAAAGGACCATGTAACAAGTCTGGGGTTGGTGGCGTGGGTTTATGCTCACTTTTCTTCTCACGACGTCGACGATCTTCATTCTTTTTCTGAAAGATACTATGGTATTGACAAAATCTGGATCTCTTTAAAGGCAGTGGAAATGACTGCTGGAGGCGGGCGGTTGTGGCCAGGATCAATGGCTGCGAGGGCTTTTGACCACACCCTACTCAACTCTTCCACCAGTAATGTTGGACGACAACCGCCTGCCCCCAGCAATCGTGCCCACTTCCTTTGGAATAGCACTTTTGGCATGTTGCTGGAGAAACCTGAGTGGATAATTACCAGAAAGGAATTGGACAACTTTGAAAGCTTTTACCTACCTTGGAATAAGCAACGCAGGCGTACTCAATCAAAGCGAGTACCACGAGCAGATAGCAGAAGCCTAGGTAAACATCTACGGCCTTCACATAGGCCACCGGCGGTAGCCGTCGATTCGTGCCGGTCATCAGATGGGTCTCTGTGAGCACCGTCATAACACCGATGATTGTTCGAGACGGCGCCGAATCACGTGAGATCCAGAACGACACCTGCAATTCATGGCTCTTGCTTCTGCGGTCTTTCTGCTCCTGCTTTATGCTTACGCTTACCCAGGAGATGACTACGACGAGCGCAGCTGGTACGAAAATCTGCAGCATATAGAATCCGCTTTCTCGATCGAAAATGAAGAGCAACAGGAGGCGCGAGTAGGAACCTGGAATGCGATTATTTGGGTTGGTCCCACACATTTCATAGCAGGATCGCCAGGCTTGACTGGGTCAGATATTGCT